AAGATCTTTTATCCTTAAATTGTACGAAATGGTATATATCAGTAATGTAAATTTTGTATATGTTTTCTTTACACGTATTCATAAGTACAATATAAATTTTGTATATCTTTACACGTATATTCACAGATACAATATAAATTTTGTATATATCTTTTTACACTTTACATGTATTCACAAATACCATGAGCATTTAATTCGTCCTTTTTTACTTATCTATCTATCTATCTATCTATCTATCTATTAGAAAGGTTTTACTTAGATTTCGCTTGTTCTACGATCTTTTATATCTTAAATTGTACGAAATGATATATATCAGCAATGTAAATTTTGTATATTTTTTTCATTACACGTATTCATTCATAAGTACAATATAAATTTTGTATATCTTTATACGTATATTCACAGATACAATATAAATTTTGTATATCTTTTTGCTTTACACGTATTCACAAATACCATGAACATTTTCTTCGTCCTTTTTTACTCATCTATCTATCTATCTATCTATCTATCTATCTATCTATTAGAAAGGTTTACTTAGATTTCGCTTTTTCTAAGATCTTTGATATCTTAAATTGTACGAAATGGTATATATCAGTAATGTAAATTTTGTATATGTTTTCTTTACATGTATTCATAAGTACAATATAAATTTTGTATATCTTTACACGTATATTCACAGATACAATATAAATTTTGTATATATTTGTGCTTTACACGTATTCACAAATACCATGAACATTTTCTTTTTCTTTTTGATTTCTTCCTTTCTTTTTCACCCATCTATCTATCTATCTATCTATCTATCTATCTATCTATCTTGAAATTCACTTCCGGGATTTCACCTGGTTCGGAAGTGCTACATCTAACCGCTTCCGTATAGAAATCCTTGAGGAGTTTCAGAGAGGAAATACTTGGGGGAGTCATACATGGATCTTCGACGTTCTTATTTTGGTATTACGTGGTGTAAGTAGCTGCGTCAGATGTATGTGCACGTGTTGAGAACAT